TTAGCTCTTCTTGTTAAATTGATCCCTTTACCATTACGTAATGACCTTCTTTTTCTCGTTTGATCTTTGTTGGTTTAAAGTCTGTTTTATCAGAGACTAGGATGGCAACCCCTGCTTTTTTTTGTTTTCCATTTGCTTGCTAGATCTTCCTCCATCCCTTTATTTTGAGCCTATGTGTGTCTCTGCATGTGAGATGGGTCTCTGGAATACAGCACACTGATGGGTCTTGACTCTTTATCCAATTTGCCAGTCTGTGTCTTTTAATTGGAGTATTTAGCCAATTTACATTTAAGGTTAATATTGTTATGTGTGAATCTGATCCTGTCATTATGATGTTAGCTGGTTATTTTGCTTGTTAGTTGATGTAGTTTGTTACTAGAGTCGATTGTCTTTACAATTTGGCATGTTTTTGCAGTGGCTCGTACAGGTTGTTTCTTTTCATGTCTGGTGCTTCCTTCAGGAGCTCTTGTAAGGCAGGCCTGATGGTGACAAAATCTCTCAACATTTGCTTGTCTGTAAAGGACTTTATTTCTCCTTCACTTATGAAGCTTAGTTTGGCTGGATATGAAATTCTGCATTGAAAAGTATTTTCTTTAAAAATGTTGAATATTGGTCCCTACTGTCTTCTGGCTGGTAGCATTTCTGCCAAGAGATCCGCTGTTAGTCTGGTGGGCTTCCCTTTGTGGGTAATCCGACCTTTCTCTCTGGCTGCCCTTAATATTTTTTCCATCATTTCAACTTTGGTGAATCTGACAATTATGTCTCTTGGGGTTGCTCTTCTCGAGGAGTATCTTTGTGGTGTTCTCTGTATTTCCTGAATTTGAATGTTGGCCTGCCTTTCTAGGTTGGGGAAGTTCTCCTGGATAATACCCTGAAGAGTGTTTTCCAAGTGGTTCCATTCTCCCCGTCACTTTCAGGTACACTAATCAGATGTAGATTTGGTCTTTTCACATAGTCCCATATTTTTTGGAGGCTTTGTTCGTTTCTTTTTACTCTTTTTTCTCTAAATTTCTCTTCTGGCTTCATTTCATTCATTTGATCTTCAATCACTGGTACCCTTTCTTCCACTTGATTGAATTGGCTACTGAAGCTTGCGCATGCATCACATAGTTCTTGTGCCATCATTTTCAGCTCCATCAGGTCATTTAAAGTCTTCTCTGCACTGTGTATTCTAGTTAGCCATTTGTCGAATCTTTTTTCAAAGTTTTAGCTTCTTTTCGATGGGTTTAAACATCCTCCTTTAGGTCGGAGAAGTCTTTTATTAACGATCGTCTGAAGCCTTCTTCTCTCAACTCATCAAAATTATTCTCTGTCTGGCTTTGTTCTGTTGCTGGCGAGGAGCTGTGTTCCTTTGGAGGAGAAGAGGTGCTCTGATTTTTAGAATTTTCAGCTTTTCTGCTCTGGTTTCTCCCCATCTTTGTGGTTTTATCTACCTTTGGTCTTTGATGATGGTGATGTACAGATTGGGTTTTGTTGTGGATGTCCTTTCTGCTTGTTAGTTTTCCTTCTAACAGTCAGGACCCTCAGCTGCAGGTCTGTTGGAGTTCGCTGGAGGTCCACTCCAAACCCTGAGTATCACCAGTGGAGGCTGCAGAACAGCAAGTATTGCAGAAATGTTGCTGCCAGATCCTTCCTCTGGAAGCTTCATCTCAGAGGGGCACGTGGCTGTATGAGGTGTCAGTTGGCCCCTACTGGGAGGTGTCTCCAAGTTAGGCTACGCAGGGGTCAGGGACCCACTTGAAGAGGCAGTCTGTCCGTTCTCAGATCTCAAACTCCATGCCGGGAGAACCACTACTCTCTTCAAAGCTGTCAGACAGGGATGTTTAAGTCTACAGAAGTTTCTGCTGCCTTTTGTTCAGCTATGCCCTGCCCCCAGAGGTGGAGTCTACACAGGTAGGCAGGCCTCCTTGAGCTGCGGTGGGCTCCACCAAGTTCGAGTTTCTCAGCTGTTTTGTTTACCTACTCAAGACTCAGCAACGATGGATGCCCCTCCCCCAGCCTCGCTGCCACCTTGCAGTTGGCTCTCAGACTGCTGTGCTAGCAGTGAGCCCACTCTGTGGGCGTGGGACCCTCCAAGCCAGGAGTAGGATATAATCTCCTGGTGTGCCGTGTGCTAAGACCGCTGGAAAAGTGCAATATTAGGGTGGCAGTGTCCTGATTTTCCAGGTGCCGTCTGTCATGGCTTTCCTTGGCTAGGATAGGGAAATCCCTTACCCCTTGTGCTTCCTAGGTGCACCCACTGTCTGACAAGCCCCAGTGAGATGAACCTGGTACCTCAGTGGGAAATGCAGAAATCACCCATCTTCTGTGTCACTCACGCTGGGAGCTGTAGACTGAAGCTGTTCCCATTTGGACATCTTGGAACTCTGTAGCACTATTTACAATAGCAAAGACATGGAACCAACCCAAAATGCCCATCAGTGATAGACTAGATAAAGAAAATGTGGCACATGCACACAATGGAATACTATGCAGCCATAAAAAGGAATGAGATCATGTCCTTTGCAGGGACACAGATGAAGCAGGAAGCCAACATCCTCAGCAAACTAACACAGGAACAGAAAACAAAACACTGCATGTTCTCACTCATAAGTGGGAGTTGAACAATGAGAACACATGGACAGAGAGGGAGACAACACATACTGGGGTCAGTCAGGGGGTCGGGGGCAAGGGGAGGGAGAGCTTCAGGACACATAGCTAATGCATGGAGGGCTTAAAACATAGATGATGGGTTGACACGTGCAGAAAACCACCATGGCACACATATTCCTATGTAACAAACCTGCAGGTTCTGCACTTGTATCCTGGAACTTAAAGTAAAATAAAATAAGTTGTCTAAGTACATCACACAAGTTTAAATAGGAGAATATAAAGTGGTCTGCATTTCTACTGTACTGTAGCCATAGATGATGCCTTCCTTCTCAACTTTTCTAGCATTGGTTACTGAGACCAATCAAATATGATTTATTTCATACTCAGGGATTCTCCATCCAAGTATGAGCTCCTTAAAACCAGGGACTGATGAGGTCCAATTCATTTAATTCATTTCTGTAGCCTGGCACAACAGTATCGCACAGAACATGCTCTTTGAATCCATCTACCCACCTATGCTTCCATTTACTTTGAAAGAGAATTTGAGGCAGTCATGTATAAAATAGCATTAGACTAAGAAATGTAAACTAACAGTTATTTGCATGCACATCCAACTTTGGATAAGATCGTTTTTAATTGGCTGAACATTTAGAAGAGTTGGTAGGCAAATCAGATCATAACATAAGCAGATATTTTCAATTTAACAGTAAATGTGAGTGTGTATAACTGAACCTAGGTCTCACTTTCTCTGTATTCCACATTTGATCCCTCAGAAGCCTGCCAATCTCTTGACCTCAATTCCCAGTCATCATTATTACTGTCCTCATTCAAGTCCTTGTGGCTTTTTCTCTGTTGACTAATCTACTAAAACTAATCTCCCTGACTCTGGTTATGTGTTCTCAGGCCTTTATCCTCATGGCTTCTAAGCAGAGATTTTTACGACTGAGATATGAATATGTCCACATACTCTTCTAACCTTTCACTGGTTCCCCCTTGGTCTGCTAGACGAAGTTCAATTCCTTAGCATGCTTTACAGAGATGTGGTGTCTGCCCTGCTCTCTAACTTTTACTGTAAGCCATTCTTCTAAGAATAGTTTGTGCCACAGCTGAACTTCTGGACTATTTGCCATTACCCTCAAATTAGCCTTGTTATTTTTCACTTCCACATCTTTCTTCCCATACAAGTTTCCTACCAATGTGACTATCTGTACCCTTCTTTGCCTGGTTTGTCCTTATTTATCTCTTAGGGCTCAACACAAATGCCTTCTCCCCTGTAAAGAGTTTCCTAAACTAGCTTTGTGCCAACTCTGTCCCATGTACTTCTGTTACAGCACTCATCTCACTTTTATGAATCTTCTGTCTCCCCTATTGGACAGCCTTAATAATTCAACAAGTTTGTATTAAGTACCTTCTATGAACCTGGCACTGAGCTGGATACAAAGAGAACTTGTCTTTATTTTGTGGAGTTTTTTTTTTTTTTGAGATGGAGTTTTGCTCTTGTCGCCCAGGCTGGAGTGCAGTGGTGCGATCTCAGCTCACTGTAACCTGTGCCTCCCAGATTCCAAGTGATTCTCCTGTCTTAGGAGAGTATCTGAATAGCTGAGATTATAGGCGCCCACCATCAGGCTCGGCTAATTTTTGTATTTTTAGTAGAGATGGGGTTTCAACATGTTGGCCAGGCTGGCCTTGAACTTCAGACCTCAGGTGATCTGCCCGCCCCAGCCTCCCAAAGTGCTGGGATTACAGGCATGAGCCACTGTGTCCCGCATGGCCCTTGTCTTTAAGGGGCTCAGAGTGTTCTAGAAAAGGCGATTAGTGACTAATAAGAATAACAGAGTGTGCTAAGAGCTGGAGTTGGATCTTACAGGACAAGTAAAATTATTGAGATGGTAAAGAACTCCCCAAGCAGGGAAAGTAGCCTGTATAAAGGGACAGAGAAGTGCAATGACAGGAGGCATGGAGAAGCTGTGAGGAGGGCAATCTAGTGTAAATAACAGGCACATGTGTGGGACTAGAGGGGATAGACCATGAACTGTATAATGTAGCCAGAAAATTATCTGAGCCATGTCTCAAGCGGCTATGGGGAAAACTGAAGGATTTGGGCTGGGGAGTAACATGTCATTTTCGTGGAGTAGAATACCACTCTCATCACTCTGAGAAAAATGGATTGAAGTAAAGGAAGATCAGGTGAGATGAAGGGCTGGTCATCACTGCCTGCTGTAACACTTCTTCCTTGAGCAACACAAGCTGCACGAGTACGACATGTTAAGCTGTGTGCTAAGAGAAAGTAAACCCCGATTCAGGGGTCTGCAAATCCTCCAGATGCTGGGTATATGGGTCATGTGACAAAACGGACTAGTCAATGACATAAAAACATCCATGACCCTATTGAGAAAGTGTCAACTTACCAATTTTCCAGTAACACTCTGACCACCTTCATTCAGCCAGAACCCAGGTACCATGGCTGAGAAATAAGGCCCCCAGACGCCTGGTACAAAAATTGGGTCTTTGCTGATCTGGAAAGAAAGATGGAAAATATGTGAACACATTGACTCTCAGGGGTAGAGGAAGGGTTCTCCTCCTAATATTTCTATGACCATGGAATTCAGCTTCTTACTGAATGCCTTTTATGGTGGGGAAGTCACTCTCTCCCAAGAAAGGCCATGACTCCTTTTTTTTTTAGAAACTTTCCTGATAAACTCATTTACATGTCAAGGTAATAAAAATGATCATTTTGGAAAGAAACTGATAAGGTGTTTCCCTGTTGGCTCCCTCATTATGGCAGAGATTGCAAAGGTGGTCCCCATTCTCCACCCTTCCTGTGTCAACACCCTTTGCAATGAGATTTTGCAGCTCCTCACACGGAGATGTGGGTCTATCTCCCTACCCCTTCAATCTACACCAGTCTTGTGACTTGTTTTGCCAAGAGAATGAGGCAGATGTGAGACTGGGCCAGTTTTCCAAGCCTAGGTCTCAAAAGGGCTGTGTGCTTCTGTTCTGTCTTTCGCTCCTCAAACTTGGCCACAAGAACATGCCCTGACAAGGCTGCTGGGTGACAGGAGATGTGCAACAGAGCTGAGTCTGTTCAGTTGTCTCAGGTGATTTCCCAGATATATGAAAGAACCCAGGCGACACCAGCAAATATTCCTAGGTAACCAGCACTGACCAGCCCAGATCATCAGACTCACCTAGTCAACTAACAAACTAGTGAGCAAAAATAAATGTCTACTGTTCTTTGTCACTAAGGTTTTGTATTTGTCTGTAACTTAGCATTTGGGGGACAATAATAACTGATATATTTCTTTCCTTTTACAAACATGTACTGCTACCTACTAGCAATCCTGTCCCCCTACTGGTTGCTGGGGAAACAAAGATGAATCAGAGTTCTTACTTTCAAGAAGCTCCCATCTAGTGGAGGAGCTATACAAATAAATAGACAAATAGAATATAGTGTGGTCCATGAGATGGTAAAGACAAAATGCAAAATATTGTGGATGGGCACAGGAGGTGAGGAATATGCTAAAGATTATACAAAGATAGAGGCCACCATTTAGATATATACCCCAAGGCCAACTGCCCAGAATCAAGTAGTAAAACTTAAGTCATTCTGATTTCCCTGAGTTGCTAGCTCTCATTATAAACAAAGCATAAAACATAAGCTTTATCCCCCTGTCAGCATGATTTGATGAAATTAAAACGTAAGCTTTAGGTCCTTGTCAGCATGATTCAGGAAAATTAAATCAATCAGCTATAGACAAATCAGTTTAAACAGTTCTGTTTGCCCTGAAAAAAAAAAATGTTAACACATAACAGCCAATGACTAAAAAGGTCAAAATACTTTCTCCTTAATGTTTCATAAACTGCACTGTAACTGCCATAAGGTGAGCTTCTTACCACTTGAAGTCTTGCTGATGGCAATCTGTACTTTTTGTAAGATAGTAAACTTTCAAATTTTCCCTAACTTGTTCTCATTTTATTTTTGACAAGCGGAATGGTACAGAGGTGGCTTCTTAAAAGAAAGGAACACAAGCTAAGTTTGAAAAGACTAGTAGGATTTTGCTAAAGTAAAACAGGCATTCCAGGTAGAGGGAAGAGCCAGAACAAAGCCATGTGGGTAAGAGAGGTGCTCTCAGGTACTCTCAGTAATCAAGATAGTGCCTTTTTTTTTTTTTTTTTTTTTCTAGCAGACCATAGCAGTCCCTTCAACTGTAAGGAAAGCATGTAAACAGATGAACTAGAACAGGTGGGGATAGATCATGTGTTCACTCATCTGCAGTGGTACATGCTTCTCATCTATTCAGCAGTAAGGAATGCTGAAGTCACATTTATGGTCACAGAAATATTTAGCTAGAGGGTAGGGAAGACAAGGCAGTTAGGCATACAAGTTGTATTCCAGCAGGTCTTGAGGCTGGGCAGAGAATCTATTCATTTATATATTTCACAAATATTTACTCAGCCCTTACTACGTGCTTGGTAATGTGCTAGGCCCAGAGGATGCAGATGTGATTACCAGCATTGTAGCATGGGGACAGACCTTATTTAATTGTCTTGACCTCAGCTACCCTGGTTATCTCTTTACTAAACCAGAGATTCCTCGAATCAGTAGGATTTCCAACCCCAGAATGGGAAGGGGGTGAAGGAAGGCAAAAAAACAAAAGCAGCATAACATTGTCAACTTTAAATTTTGTCAAATAAGGACAATTTTTCAAAAGGAACATTTTAACATCAAAATAGAAAGAATAACCTCAGGGAGAAAAAAGATAGGCTTTCATAAGAAAAGTAAGGACAAACATTAATCAGATCATTACACAAATATATAATTACCAACTGTGAGAATCAATGAGGGAAAGCCAAAAGGTATTAAGAGAACACACAAGCGAGGTACCTAATTCAGTCTAGGTGACAGGGAGTGCTTCTCTGAGGAAACTGTATATGAATTAAGATTTAAAACATGCATGGAAATTATTCAGGTGGGTGAGTTTGAGTGTGTGGTGTGTACGCGCGCGAGAGAAAGAATGCATGAGTGAGCTATGGCGAATGTTCCAGCCACAAGGAGCGCATACTAACTGGTACTTATTTTCACCACTCTGCCTTTATTTGCCTAGTGAAAATTTTTATCAGGTGCCAATTCTAGAAATTTCTTTCCTAAGTCCCAGAGCTTCTTTGAGGTGAGTGAGGCAGTTCATATTCATTACCACTTAGGACCCAGGGTTTGTACAGGTAGAGCCAAAGCCAAATCATCTCATTCTATGTCCTGCACACCCCTGCTTCCAGAACTCCTGGCCCCATTTGAGAGATTAATCCCCGAGAGGTTGTGTAAGTTGTCCATGGTTAGTACACGGACGACCACAATGGGATTTGAACTGAGGCAGATGTTGACCTCAAACTCTATGATAATGCTCTTTACTTGTATGCATAAATTGCTTAGGAAGGATACACGTCACTTCCCTTCTTCCCATCCCCTGCCCCACAATTTGGGGATGTTACTGCATCAGCTGCAGCAAGACTTCATTAGAAGATTGTGGCTTTGCTGTTCCGAAATGTCAGAGGATGATTTTGCTTGGCTCTGTCCAGAGAGAAAGTTTTGAGTTGACCTCTGTTTGTGGCCACTCATCTGGAATAGCATATGCTTCTCCTCAGACATCCTGTGTAAAGCAAGGAAACAAAGAGTACTTCTAGTCACTTTCAAATCCTGTGTTCTTAGAAGAATCTAGGAATTCCTGGTTTGTTTTGGGAGAGAGAAAAAGAATGCACACTTGTGTATTTATGTGTCGTTTAATCTTTTGCCACAAACCTAAATATTTAAAAATGTTTTTGTGAAAGCTCCTTCCATGCTGATGGCTGTCTTGGCCTGGAGGCTGCTCCATGACCCTAAAGAAGGGGAGCTCATCATACCACATTGATGACAGGTGTCCATGCAGGACACTGACGTCCCAGTAATAACAGCACTGTTGGCAGAAACAACAATAGCTGAGACTTACTGTGTACTTAGTAAAGGCCTGATTCTAAGCATATTACAGGTATTAAATCACTTAATCTTCACAGTAATTCTAAGGGAAAATTCTGTTATTATTCCTATTGTACAGATATGTAAACTGAGGCAGAGAGCTAAATAATATGCCCAGTATTACAAAAACTGAAAGCAGTCAGGCATCAGGCTCTATATTTGTCTCTGCCAAATTATAGTCTTAATTTTAGGCTACCATTACTTCCTTGAGTCTTTCATCTGTTTTGAAGAGCAGAAAGCAAGGGCCATTAGAGCCAACACAGACTTACTCAAAGTGAACATAACCTTCTGGCCTTGATGACAAGTGGGTTGGGGAATCTTCATTTCTAAAAAGTTTTCGTTAGGTGTTCCCTGATACACCAGTGAACAACAGAAGAGAAAGTATGGGTCGGGACAAAGGCCCATCGTGATTCTAGTCCTGACTCTGCCCAATTCTCAGCCAGGTGATCTTAAGTAAGGTAGCCTTTCTGAGCCTCAGTTTCCTCAACTCCAAAATGGGAGGAATGCATGAATGCTGGAAGACTTTTGTAAAGATTAAGTAAGCTGTCACATATAAATGGTTTATTATATGTTAAACACCAAATAAATGTTAGCTCTCCTTGAAATGAGGCTTGTATGATGGAATAGTCAGGTGACTGGCTGAACAGCCACAGGCAACAGTAATCACAACTATGTAAGGGGGTCTCTAGATTTGTCCTTGGTCTTAGCTTAGTCAACATGCTTAATAATGGAGTAGAAGACGATATAGAAGAAAAGCTTATATTTTCAGATGCTAACACTTGGAAAAAGAGCTTATTACAGGATGTGTTCAAATTAAGATTTGAAATTACCTCAAAGAGCTAGAACACTAAGCAAAATTAAGAAAACAGGTAACATTTATTTACTTATATAGTTAAAAACTTATACTTAAAAGGTATTGGTAGTACTCTTTTTCATAGGCTTGGTAGTGGGAATACTGGTGTTCATTTTGGTATTTTGTTTAGGCCGTACTTAGACATTTGGTGTACTCTTTGTGTCTGATACAAATATAATTATAAAAACTTCAAAAACAACAAATAGAAACATTTGGTTGCATACTGTATGTCAGACACTGAGCTCAATAAGGCTATAAAAATAAGGCAAAATATTACTACTACTATTACTACTACTACTACTACTAATAATAAAGTGGTATGGTTCCTTTCCTCAAGGAGTTCCTAATCAGACAGGGCAGCGAGGTAGAAATAAAAAAATAACAACAAAACATGGCAAGCGCTATAAAAAGGTAACAGAGGAGTGCAGTACGAGCCCAAAGGAAGGAATAACTCACTGCCTGGGAAAAGAGTGAGCATTTCACAGAGGTGGCCACCTTGAAGCAAGGCCTTGAACGTGGAGGACATACTTGCTTGGGCAGAGAGGAAGGGCAGCCCAGGCAGAAACAGTTATGTAGACAAGGCTAAGAGTCACGAAGCTGTGCACACATTTTGATTTCAGGGAGCTCCATATAAAGTTCTGCATTTTACTTTAAAT